TCAGAATCGCTTTAAAAATAATAATAAAAATTTTTAAATTATTTTATTATTTTTTATTAGTTTAATTATTTTTAATTATTTTTTAATTATTTTTTATTATTTTAATTACTTTTCATCATTTTTAATCATTTGATTATTTTTCTTTATTTTTTATTATTTTTTGATTACTTTTTATTATTTTATTATATTTTTTATTGTTTTTTATTATTTCATTTTACTTTTCATTATTTACTTTATTTTCTTATTAATTTAATTAAATTAGTTTGCTTTTAGCTAGTTATTATATTTTAGAATTATATTTTAATAATATATAAATAGAAATGCTATTTAAATTTTAACTTAATATATTGCAAATGAAAAATAAATACTCTTTTAACAAAAAACTTTTTTCAAATAATATTTATCTTTTTTATTTTTAATTATATTAAAACTTGTATATAAGTGACTTTAAATTGTATTATATCAAATAAAATACTATTATTAATTTTGAACTTTATATTATATTATATCAAATAAATTACTATTATTGAATTATTAGTTTTATATTATATCAAATAAATTACTATTATTGAATTATTAGTTTTATATTATATTATATTGAACAAATTGCTATATTAAATTTATTAATTTTGATTAAATATTTTGATTTTATTATTTTGAACTTTTATTATTTTTGAATTTGATATTTTAATATTTGTAAGAAAAACAAAGTAAAAGAATTTTTGTTATTATTATTACTAAAAAGCTTGATACATTACAAAGAATTAGTATTTTAAATTTTTCTTTATTATTTGTTCTCTTATTATTTTATATTTTTCTCTTTTCTTTTAATCTTTACTTTTTTATAATCTTTTCATCTTATTATTATATTTTTGAATTATTATAATTTTTTATAGAAATTGATATAAAACTTAGATATTACTGTTTTTTAATATTTTATTTATTATTTAATCTTTGCTTTCAATCCAATTTTAAATTTGTAAGCTAATTTAATAATTAATAAATAAATTTGTAATAATTTAAATAAAATTAAAAAGTTTATTTTTATATTATATTTATTTATTTGAACTTAATATTTTAAAATTTTATTACAAAATCTAAATTTGATTAAGTATATAATTATAATATATATAATAGCTAATAAAATTATGAAATTATATATATAATTTTATTAATAAAAATATAATAAAAATTAAAATTTTGTCTTATATAAAAATTTTTAATTTTATTATTAGATTTTTTTTGACAAAGTTATTATAATTATAAAATTATTGCAAAAATTTTTATAAGTAATTTTTCATTTTAACTATAAAAATTTTTGCAATAGCTTTGCAATTAGAAAAACTCTATCAAAAAATTTAAAAAATTCAGAAAAAAATATATGTTAAACTATAACTTATAATCTTTGTTTTAATATAAAAATAAAAATATTTATTAGTAAAATTGAAAACTTTTATATAATATAAAAATTTGAATTTTACTATATATAATTATACATGTAATTTCATGATTTTGTTAGTCATTATATATTATACTAATTTTATTTTTTATTATATAGTAGCAATTAAAAAGAATGGAATGCTAAAACAAATTTATTAATAAAACATAATAAAAATATAAGTTTTTCTCTTTATATAAAAGTTTTCAATTTTACTAATAAATATTTTTTATTTTTATATTAACATGAAAATAATATTATATATTTTAATATATATTTTTTTCAGATTTTTTAGATTTAATCTAATGAAGCTATTCTAATTACATATAAAGTTAATTATTTTTTAATAATAAAAACATATAAAAAAATAATTAACTTTATATGTAATTAGAATAGCTTTATCAGATTAAATCTAAAAAATCTGAAAAAATATATATTAAAATATGTGATATTATCTTCATTTTAATATAAAAATAAAAAATATTATTAGTAAAATTGAAAACTTTTATATAAAGAGAAAAACTTATATTTTTCATATTTTTATTAATAAATTTGTTTTAGCATTCCATTTTTTTTGATTGTTACTGTATATATAGTTATTAAAATTTCATATAATTAAATATACTATTTTTTATAGATTTAATATGCAAAATTTTATAAATTATAGAAATAATTTTATAAATTATAGAAATAATTTTATATATATTAATTAATTCAAATATAAAATATAATAAAAGATATTAATATATTAAATAATAATATAATTAAACTTTGAAAATATAAAAAATAATATTATAATAAATTATTAAATTATAATAGATATTTATAATTATAAATAATATTGAAATTAAAAGTTAATACTTTGAAATTAATTTTTGTTATTAGAGAAAATATTAATAGATAAATATTGTAATTCAAGATTTATTATTTGAAAATTGCATATTATGATCTTGAATTTGTTGTAATTAAAATGTATCTTTTATTTATACCATGATATATTTTGATTATTAATATTTAATATATTCTTTTTATTATATTAATATTTAAAAAATATATTATTTACTATTCAGCTTTTGATATCTATATGATAAATTAATTATTATATATTACTCTAAAATTTTTCTGAATCTTGTCGGGTAATGTGTATTATATACAGTCCACAGCGAGCCACATACGCAGAGGATTGTAAATCTTGTCTAAACCCAAGAGTTTTAGACAAATAGTTTTAGACAGTATGACAACTTTGCGATCTGTACTATTATCTGACACTCGTAATTGATGCAATCGTAAAGCATATTTATAGAATGTCGACCTATCAGTTCCAAAGAATTTACTGCCATGTGCAGAAACCATTAGTTCCACCATTGGTAAAAAGTATTCATATAAAGATGGATTGTCCTTTATATTTTTTGTTTTTTCAATAATTGCAATTCAATTGATTGTGAATGTGCAAGGAACGTTGTAAATATTGGTTGTATTGCGGGATCATTTGGTTTTACATCGGTAGCAATAAATATTGTTTTATTAAGGATTGAGGGCTATTTGTTTTTGCACATTTGTTAATATTAATAATAGATGGACGATTTCGTTTTCTCTTATTACTATCATCATCATTATTATTTTCATTCATATCGATGTTCTCTTGATTAATCTCATTTTTAATCGCTTCCGTTTATAATATTCGTATCCAGCATCTCCAACGCGTAAATGCACTCCAATATACTTTTCAGATCCACCTAATTTGCGTATGATTTTTTCAGCCACAATTAAGATCGGATGTTCAAAACTAATTTGTTCCGAATCACACTTGATTCTCGTGAATACTTGTCTTTATCCTATTAGTACTATATAGGCTGATAAAATGCATTAATTTCTCTGTGATTTAGTAAACTAAAAATATGCAATTGTCGTTCAAATTTCGAAACAATGTTTTTGATCATATAACTGGTTATTATATCTTGATTTTTCTTCTGGGTAATATATTTCCTTTTCGGGATCAATTTACATGTATATACGTAGATCTTGAAATCTTGCCGATTTATTATCCGAACGTGACTTCGAATAAAATTCAAATCCATCAATTCGTCCCATGGAAATAATGTATATGAATAGTATTCTCGAATGCACCGTTTATATTTTTTCGAATTCTCATTGAAAGAGTAACAATCGTCGAGATTTTTGGTGGCATTTAATTTTGCAAGACGAATTGCAAGCTTTGGACTTTATGACCAGGCCAGGCAGGGGATTTGATTTCCGAGTATAGTTGGTGGCGCGATTTATATAATATGCTAGAAAAATCGCGTTCTCTAAAGAAATACGTTGTTTATGAAATCCACTATGGGGTAGATAGGTGATAACTTTCTCTTCTTTTATTGTATGTTATATTATAAATAAAAACTATAATTGCCAAAAGAAACGCAGGTTTAACTAATTTTTTCAACATCTATAACATTTAAAATATTTGTATAATGCTGATAATTTATTTGGAATAATAATATAATTATTATTCTATTAAAAAACAAAATTTTCATCGTCGCGCGGTTTAATAATGATATTTTGCATCTTTCACTTAACGTGTTTTTCATCGCACTTTCATTTTGTAATTTGGTGAATGAAACTATAACAAGTTAGCGGGAAGAAGATAGAATGAGACTATTGACTAATCCTAACAAATTAACGGAAAGAAAGAGCGTGAAAGAGATGGATACATATGATGACAAAAAGAAAAATCAGATTCAATTTCATTTAAAATAAGCTTTTAATTATGGAATTTATTAATTTTCTTGAAATAATTATATGATATTAAGGATGTTACCTAAACTAAAATTCAAGAAAAATGCCGAATCTCAAAAATGAAGAATAATATAGTTTGATTAGAAAAAAATGTAAGCTGAATCTTCTTTTTAATAAAACTTTTATATACCAGTGTTGTCAACTTTATATGTCCAATTGTTTTTAATTGGAATTTGACACCTAATTGGACACTTCTGACAACACTGCTATATACAGTACCTATAAAATGAATTTAATTTTGCTATGAAAATTTGAAGTTTGGTTTACATTCCTATTCATATATAGGCCTCTATAGACCAATTACAAATTTGCTCAAAGTTCAATTTGATAAAATAATCAAGAAAGGACTATTTTATCGTTTTATCGGATTAAATTTCGGCTTTATTTCTTAGTTAAGAAATTTATCGAATTCATAACATACAATATGTTGCCTATTTTTAGGAATATCTGAGAATCAATTTTGAACTAAAAATCAGCAAAAAGAGTTTTGATTTTCTAGTAATAAAAAATAATAATAGAAGCTAAATATTAATGTTTTTATCATCACCACTATCACAATTCGTATTTAAGCACTTGAAGCAATTAATTAAGTGATTCAAACTATTAATATATTTTGAAATCAATTCTTAAATATTTGAATTGAGTTAATAAAAATGACGCATCTATGTGCTTATTAGTGTTTGAAAGTTTCACTATTCAATTTATATTCTAGAATCACTATAGTAAATCAATTAACTAATTAATTACCAATGTTTGTTTTCGATATAATAAAAATATTGTTAATCATATTTTAATGTAATAGACATGAATAATATAAACGCAAATATGTTTCATAATCAAATTCTTGATGATGGAAATTATACGTATATGGGAGTGAGTCAATAGAAACCAAGCAAATTAAAAAATCTTAATTTTGCGATAATTAGTATTTTATTTCCCACATTTTATATGATTAATATATAAAAAAACTTTGAAATGCATTGTCTCAAAATTTCATTATATAAATTTGAATTCATGATTAATTATAAAAATGATCAATATATGTATTTCTATTGTTTTAATAAAAAACTCATTTTTGAAAAAGAACAATTTGCTTGGTTTCTATTGACTCACCCCCATATGTTTAATTGCTTTTAAAAGATTATTAATTATAATTACTATTTCAATATACAATAATGACCAAGGTTTTACATCACAAAAAGCTTTGCGAAAATCTATTTGATGCTTATAGTTACTATACTCGTGAGGGATGGATGTTAATCAATTTTGTCCAGTTCGGTTCTAGGAATCGGCTTCTTTGCTTGAACTGAACTGGAACTCGGTTCCGATATGAAATTGAATATGAAGCTGTTTTACGAATATATATAAATAATTGATCGTAGTTATATTTCACGTTTTACTATCTTTTTATCGAAAAAAATTTACATTATTGAAACCTAAGTATTAAGTTTTCTCAATTAAAAATTCTCACTGAAAATCACAATTAATTTTTCTCACCATTAACAATCAATTTAATAAACAAGCAATCAATGTAACAGAAAATTTCATTATTATAAATTAGAATTTTTTAGATAATATTCCAATACAAATTTTCTTCTAGGTTTCAGTTAAAATTTTTATTTGATATCAGAATTTTTAAAATCTTGAAGCAATTCAAATAAGATTTTAAAATATGGTATCAGACTTGCAACAGTTTCGAGACAAGCCAACTCAAATACCAATCCAATAAGTTTCATAGCATCCATCCCTACTCATATTAAAGCAAATAACCTAGAAAATTTTTGAAAAATATATAAAAAAAATTGTTGTCATTTAAGAAATTTTGAATGATATAAACAATTTTTTAATTAGTGAAATTTTGATTAAATGCCATTTTTCACTAAGCCAATAAACATAAAATATTCTATTCTATGAGATGCACCTATGTACTAATCTTCAGCGGAATCAGAATGTTGGCTATTGAGAGATGAGTCCACAAATGTCAAAATTACACTATGGAAATTTCAACAATTTGAACTCATATTTTAATGGCTAACACTCCGATTTAACTGAAAATTGGCATAAAGTTAGTTTTCATGGGGATTTAAAAATCGTGTAAATTATTAATTTTCTTAAAATGGCAATAATATATTTTTTATTCGCAAAACTTTAGTCACCGCTGTATAATATAACAATTTGCAAGGGATTACGTATAATTCTTGATTTAAACTTTAATATACATGTACATTCCTTGATTGATTTCATATATTAATTATAGTTTGGCTTATTGGATAAAATTTTATCCAATTTTTTAAAGCGTTCTGGTTTTTCATATAAAATAAAACAAAATTAAGTTTATACAGTATGTACATGTTACATATAACGATAACATTAAATAAAGATTAAATAAAGATTAAATAAAGATTACCATGTGTTTTATATATGTATAGCTTTGTTATCTTATTGACATGTACATATATAATCTATTATTACCGTACAAGCACTGCATAAAGTACCCCTTTTGAGAAAATTTAAGTCTCAAGGCTATTAATTTAGTACAAAAAAATTGAAGAAATTGTACGGAGATGAATCTCGATTTATTCTTTTTGCAGAAACATACGTAATTGGTTTGTTAAGAAATCGGACTAAATTAAGGTTTAAATTTTCTCCAAAAAGGGTTACTTTATGCACTGCTGTACAGTAGAAAATTAGCTGCACTTAAATTACGTAATACATATATCAAGTACGTAATGCATAAAGAATCACAATGTTTCGCAATTTAAAACTACGAGTCTATCACTATTAATATTAATATTAACATGTAAATGTACATGTATTAATTGTAACTGACTCAGTTTGTACATGTACATGTATTGATACGTTCGGCATTCTTCCCCCAATATGGCCTCCCAGTCTTTCACATTTGAGAGTAGGACGGTATTGAATGATGCAAGAAAGGCAAAAGTGTAGCTTTTGATAATCAAATGCAGTTTATTGTTATTGATGCAAGTATATTAAGCTAACTTGATTCCATTGGAATACTTATACATTTTACGAAATTCCAAAACGACAATAATTTTCATATGACTACACCGTCGCCACTACCATCTCTACCTCCGCCAATTTGGTTTGCTGTTGGACCATAATATGTTACCGGTTTATCAACAGAAGCTCACAAATAGGGGTACTATGTTCATGTGAATACCAGTACTGGAATGCAATATTGTACGTTTAAAATGCTATGGTGCATAAAATCTAAAGTCATCAAACGATTGTATTTTATAAAATGTATAAACTTCTTTACTAAGAAGTAAATACGAAATTTAATCCGTGAATATGACAGAATAGGCCTGTTCTGAGCATATTCACGGATTAAATTTTGTATTTACTTCTTAGTAAAGAAGTTTATACATTTTATAAAATACAATCTTTTGATGATTTTAGATTTTATGCACCATATAATTGATGTAATTATTGTAGCATATGACTAGGAATTGTACTTGTTGACTCCAAACGACGTTTTCGGGTTGGGGAAGGATAAGATATTGGTGAATTATAATGTGCTTATCATTGTTCTAACGCTAATGTTTTTT